CAATGGATACAAGGTGCTCCAGGACTAGCTATGGGGGGTACGACCCCAGATACCCACGGCAGATCACATGGGCTGCGCCCCGAGGGGTGGCCCAGCCCACAAGACGAAGCGAGCACGGCGCTGCTCGGCGTGTCCCGCAAGACACCGAGAAGATATTACGAGATCTGTTAGGATACGTATGATCCCATGATTCCTGTAATCTGTTATTACTTTCTAGTTATCTCCTAGATCTAACCGACCTATAACCCTGCCCCTCAGACTATATAAGGCGGGCAGGGACCCCCTCCAAACACACGCAATATCATACGATAGCCAATACAATCCAACAGACCATAGGAGTAGGGTATTACGCCGCGCTGATGGCCCGAACCTGTCTAACTCTTGTGTCTCTATTGCCTTCTTGTTCTAGATTACACGCATCTCTGTCGATCAATCTACCTTCGTGGGATACCCCTCGGAGGACTACCGACAATATTCTATCGATAGATGGGTATGGTATCTTCCTACTGTACTTTCAGTGTTTCAGTCTCCAAGTTGGTGGGATGATATAGGTGCTAATATTCATGTGTGTGCTGATATCTCTATGTTTTCTTCTTACTAGGGGCTCAAAGGTTCCTCCATCCTGATAGAAAATGGTCTACATGCTTCTGTTAGTGGTGTTGGCAAGATAGATCTGAAGTTTACTTCTCGGGGAAGATCATTGTTGGTATTTCTTATGGTTGAGTAGAGAATTGTTCCGCCCAAGGTCACCATGCCCACCTCACCCTCACCATCCTTCTCAACTATATTCCTCCTATTCCTCTTCTTAGAAGTCCTACCCTTCGGAGAACCAGCTTCCAAATGAGGCCAGTCCAGATATTCAGCACCAAGAAGGTCGAAAATCCAGTTCAACCTTCATCAAACCAGAAGAATGTTCTAGATGTTGCGAATCTCCAAAGTGCCCATGTCCCCAACAAAGGCTATAGTGTCTCCCTGAACCATCTCTAGGACCTTTGCCATGCCCTTCGCCCATCTCGAAGCACTCTTTATCACCCGCTCCCATCGAGCCTCCATGTCAATCTCTGGGCACTTCAGGCCTTTGCCCTTGTATTTGTCGTCCATAACCGAGAACCAAACCTCGATAGCATGAAGCGGGATCACCTTTGCACAAACAAACTCCTCAAAAAAATTACGCGTGCACTACTGCGGCACCAACACCCTTAATGCATCAACAACCTCACGAGAGATTTCGGTGACCGCACCCTTGGCGGTCACAGCGCGAAGCAAGGACAACTTCACATAGTCCACCTCTAACGCCCTCCATGTCATCTAGCTTGCAATAAACCAATGTCTAAGCTATGGCAAGGGCCACTCATTCCTTCGAACCTGAACAGTTGGCTTGATCTTCCGTAAATGATATGATTCACTTCATGGCATCAGGTGGCCTTATTGGTTCATTGATCGCAACTTCGCTTGCTCTTCATTGTTGCCTTGGTCCATTGGTGCAAAGTCCTAGCTTGTCCGCCACGTGCAGTCCATTGCTCCAACGCCTCTGACTTGCCCTTCACACTTGCAACCCGGTCCATCGTAGCCAAGCCATGTCTCTTGATCTTCTCCACCTAGCCACATGACACCATGTATGTCTCAATATATAATGAGCTCCTTCATCACAACTAGTTGAGCTTTGTAACCAATCCAAGCTAGTCCACCACCATGGCTCAAGTTGCTCACACTAGTATACTACTAATCACCTGTGTACCTCAACATAAACACATATTAGTCTACTTAGGTTGTCACTCAATTACCAAAACCAAATAAGGATCTTTCGAAAAACAAATGCAAAACACACCACAGATGTTCAGCGCACCACAATGGTGAAAACTTGTTAAAACAATTTACAGCGCAAACTCTCAGGAAAGTCAACACCTTCAAACAAACCAACATAGTGAAACCCTCACAGCAAAACAAGCGCATGCAAAGATGACTACCCTCGTACCAAAACAAACCCTCGCACAAATATAGTAGCAGTGATAGGCTGTGGGAACAAATGAGACCAGTGGGCAGAGTCGGCCACCTACCATGCATATATATAGAGACCTCAGCTCTCTCACATGACCTGACAGATGCGGCACGAGCATGACAAACAAAAAAAACTTGGTCCACATGGAAACGTAAACTATTCCTCGAAGAATGCTTCCACAAGCACACCTCGGGCCTAGAGCCAGTGACCAAAATCAGTTGGGGCATCACTTAGGTTGGGGACCCTTGGGCGGGAGCTGCGCTCGCACCTTATTGTTCTTACATTGTGTTGTCCCATCAAGCTGGCCTAAACCCACGAGGGGCTACTATTGGGGGAATGCCATTCACGCGACACCCCACCCTCACTTCGGCCTAGGTCGGACCCTCGCCTGCTCCTGGCCCCGCTTTGCCACAAAGCACTGATGCGTCGTCTTGTCACCAACAAGGACCTTCGACTATGACTTGGGAACCAACATCACCTAGTTAGGCCCGGGCTTCAGGACACCTTCGTGGACTTACCCCTCGCCGCCTTGCAAAAGCTTCCGACAAGGGGTACCTTGATCTTCTATTTTTGTAGGGCTGATCATAGCCCTTGAGGCCCCGACAGTTGGAGAAGACCCTTGCAGCGCTAGCACGATCGCTGTTACAGGGAAGATGGAGAACCATGGTGCCCTCAAGCGGAGCCCTCAGTGGTGTTAGAAGAGTGGTTCGGGGCGAGGGGTCAAATGTCCATAGTGCACCCACGTCGATGTAAGAAGACCTCTGGCCATGCTGGAGGTGATTGTATTTTCCCTTGCCCACGTATATGGCCTATAAATACCTGGGGACACTACTGCATCAGATGATGAATTAATGGCTATTTACTCCTAAATTTATTGTGTCCCCATCCAATTTCATCCGCACATCCTTCATGTGTTTCTCCTTACTCACCTGTAGGGCACCCTCGACCACCTCCATGCTGATCTCCTGCGAGGGTAGGGGGCAGAGCGAAGCTCCCCACAGATAATCAGCACTCAGTCGAGCACTCACCCGCACAGCCGGTAGAAGCCAAGTCATGAGGTGTTGTGTGTTTTGTACTATGTGGACGTTGCTTTTCTTCAAAGAAGTTGTGTCCTTTCCAACTCTATGATTGGATTTTAACTTTTGTGGTAGCAAAAGCAGTTTTGGAAGCTAACAAAAGGAACCTTAACGTGCATGAAGCAATTGATGAACAGAGTCTAGATAAGTTGTTACAGAGTAATTGAGTCATATTCGCTATCTTTTACCTTCTGCTTTTCTCCACCAGTTTCATGGATTTTGACCCAATGCTTGAAATATTAGTTGAAGGACTAAGTTGGCTAGGCAAATCTCGAGTTGACAAGTCACCACACATGCATCGACGTCATCAGGCACATTATCTACCACTATAAGAATAGTATCGTTAAATCCTAGAATAAATTCAAGAAAATGTGAGCACCATGTCATGTCGAGGACTTGAACCCATGTGGGCAGTTTCCACAACAAGGAACCCAACTAGTTAAGTTATGCGCAGTTCGCTTATGTACTGTTGTTTGGTACAACCTCTAGTAAAAAATACCAAACATTTTGATTTTGTATGGTCTTTGATGGATACTTTTTCATCACTTGCTAAGTAGTTATTCTATAAAATATTCTTAAGAACCCTCAAATATAAGAGATTTGGCACATAGTTTTGATACAAAGCTACATATATAACTTACATGTTTCCAAACTAAATAATGTACTAATAATTGATGTTTCTAGTATTCAAAGTTGGGCCATCTTGAAGGACACAATTTTGAATTAAGGAATCATAATATATCAACAGCATGTGGCCAATATATATTATCGATACGGATGGTGTAAGTTTCCAATATCGAAACTAATAACACATATAAATTACTTTGTAATATGGATTTTGAATGATTGGTTTCAAATATAATCATAAGCATTATTTATTTGTTATTAGAGGGAGTAAGAACATCCCTAGGAGTTTGATATAATTTACTTGATAAACTAATAGATCTAGCAAGTTAACAGAAGGAATAGCAACTTTAAATTTTGTTCTTCTCCAACAGTCTCCTATAATAACTTTCTAAACGATTTTGCATGGGAACCCCAAATTATTTCTAACTAACCAAACATTTTTGATAGTTTCTTTGTCTCTTACAGTTTTCTCATCTGGAATCCTTTATTTTTTTAATTTATTCATGCATCCAATTTACTGCGATCTTCCGAGAAAAACACTAGATATATTGTTCTTCTCGACTGCAGAAACTTACGAGTTGAAGAGGATTCTTGGCAACTTTTTATTTGTAAAAGAAGCTTTTTTACTAAACTGTTGGAGGACACTTTCTTCTTTTTACAAAAATATTAAAATAGGTTGTTGTTTTACAAAACTTGATGCTCTACATCCCCAAGAGTTTCCAAAACCACTCCTAATCTTGATTTTTTTGCAAGATTGAAAAAAACTGCTCTCCAACAACTCTCTATCTCAACTCTCAATCTTTTCACACTTGGAAAAATCGACCTGAATGTGCGGAAATATACACGCGCCTATCGATAGGCCAATCTGGAGGTGAAAGGATATGAGGAAGAATAAGAAGTAGGAGAGGGTTTCCAATGCAAAATGTGCAAGAGAGAAGGAAAATACAAAAATGGTTAGGATGATTTGGAAATTGTTCGGGATTCCTGATGCAAAATTATCTTTTATATTTTAGGAGCATGATTTTAGAAATTGTTGGAGAAACTCAATAAATATGCTTTGAACATTTTTTAGCCATTTGAAAAACTCATTGATTTGCCAATTGACTTTTCTAGGGATTGTTGGAGATGCTCTAAGGCTAAGATGGTGAGGTTGTTTTCTGGAGAACTTTCTTGGAAACGTATAACTAACCTTATTTGTGGCATTATAATAATAAATAAAGTGATAAATCACACTAGGAAACAATTACACCGTATAAGACCTATATATATATTCTTATTTTCCGGAAAGAAAAAAAATCTCATGCCCCAAAACTAATCTCCAGCTCATGCTTGCCAGCCTTGAGGAAATGTGACCCTTTATCGATCAGCTTTCTGCCGTCCTCCCTCACCCGGCTGAAATGCTCACACGGGCTCACCTCAAACCTCAGGTTCACCTTCTCCCCTGCCTTGATGTGCTGGCTCTGGAACCCGATCAGCTGCCTCGTTGGTCGGCCGTCGGTCGCGTTCGGCCACCGGAGGAACATGAGCGCCGTGTGCTTCCCATCCATTGGCCCGTGATTCTGCACCTTGACCACCGCCAAGAACTTGAGCTGATCGCACACCTCGTCACCGATGTAGTCGACGTGGTAGCTCAAGTTGTCCTCGGTCGTCGCTGCGAGGCCAGGGGCAGCGAGTAGGCTCGTGTTGTGTGCCGGGTTCTTGCGGCCGGTGACTACCCTGTGAGAGAACTTGGAGTAGCTGAGGCCGTAGCCGAACTTATAGATGGTCTTGCCATTGTAGAACCGGTAAGTCCGGCCGGGGTAGCCGCCCGCGGCGCGCATCCGCATGTCCGTCATGGGGATCCTCGTGAACTCCTCCGGGTACCACGTGTTCGGCAGCTTCCCACTGGGGTTCTTCTCACCGAAGAGGACTTTGGCAATGGCGAGGCCGCCAGCCTGGCCAGGGTAGCCGGCCCACAGGATGGCGCCGATCTTGGGGTTCGCCTGGGCGAACGTGATGTCCACCGGGCCGCCAGTGAGGAGCACCAAGATCACTGGCCGATTCGCTGCGTTGGCGACAGCGGTGATCAAGCTCTGCTGGTTACCCGGAAGGAGAAGTGTCGTCCTGTCCTTCCCTTCGCTCTCCTGCTCCTGGCTCAGTCCCATGAACAGGATGACGGCATCCGACGAGCTCGCCAGCGCGGTCGCCTGGGGCGTCGCGGCGACGTTGCAGGCCGCCTTGTTGCACCCGGCCAGGAACTTGACGTTCTTGACGTAGCCCTGGATCCCCTGGAGAGGCGTGGTCGGCGCGCACGGTGGGCCCCAGTAGTTGCCGATGAGGGCGAGAACGTCGTTGGCGTTGTGGCCGATGACGGCGGCAGAGTTGACCGCCCCTCGTTTGAGAGGGAGGACGCCCGCGCTGTTCTTGAGTAAGACAATGCCGTCCAGAGCCGCCTCGAGCGCTAGGTTCTTGTGCTCCTGCGTGCAGATGTGGGCGGCTCCGAGGTTGCCGTACACGTTGGTCTTGGGGTCGCCGTCGAAGTGCCCCAGCCGCATGCGGGTGGTGAAGAGGTTCTTGACGGCCTTGTCTACGTCCTGCTGCGTCAGCTTCCCCTTCTGGATCGCGGCCATGGCGTACTGCTGGATGTAGGGACCGCAGTCAATGTCCAATCCTACAAGTTGTCCGTGCATGGGATCGAATTAATGAACTCAGCGATTGCCATTTGTCACTTGAAAGCGTTAAATTCCACAGGTGACGAAGACCAAAGTGACGACGACATACCGGCTTTGAGCGTGGCCGCGACGGTGTCCTCCGCCGTCGGGCGATAGAACTGTGAGTTGCGCATGATGGCCACCGCGTCGCAGTCCGCGGCGACATACCTTCATCAGGCAAAAAAAGACCATGAGATGAGATGAGAAAGAAGCTCGGTGGACCTGAACGAGCTCCGTCCTCGCCGCGAAATGTAAGGCAGTTGTGAGCGACACCGAGACGACGACTCACCCGTCGAGTCCCCAGATCCCCCTGAAGGTCTTGGTGAGCAGGTCGGCGTTGGCGCAGGACGGCACGCCATTGACGACCGTGTAGGCGCACATGACGCAGCTGGCCTTCCCATCGACCACGCAGCTCCGGAACGGCGGGTTGAAGGTGTCCGCCAGGTCCTGGACCGTCACGGTGGCCTTGAAGCTGTACCGCGACACGCCCTTCCAGTCCTCCAGGTCGTACGCCGTTGCGTGCTTGCAGCAAGCCGAGGTCTGCAGCACCGGCGGCACGGACTTGGTGTTGCTGCTGCTGCCCTGCAGGCCCCGGACGAAGGCCGCGCCGTACCGGCTGGCCACCGCGGGGTCCTCTCCTGGGGTCTCCTGGCCGCGGCCCCACCGCGGGTCCCGGAAGATGTTCACGTTAGGGGACCACATGGTGAGCCCCTCCGCCTGTCCGATGTTGTAGAATGCCCGAGCCTCCTTGCCGGTCGCCTGCGTACGCGTACGTCGTCGATCCACTCATGTCAGTTCACGTGGCCGGCAAATTAATCATTTTATTTTAGTGTTTGTGCACAACAAATACATATGGATGGATGCTTGCAACGCACTCTTGGTGACAACATGCTGAGTAACTTTAATTATGCAAGCTCTTGGTGAACAACTCATACCAAGAGTAGTTCACAAGCATTAGTGTTGTGCCGATTTAAAGACACTACTAGTGTTGCTTTTGACACCATTTATTTTTTCATTCAGCCTAATCGCGGATCGAAGAAAATGAAAAACAGCTGAAATGCGGTGACCAAATCGCATGGAAGACGTTCCATACATTGGCACGCGCACCGTCATGAGTGTGTGCGTCATGCCCATGTCGTGCGCCGTCGTCACACGTCTCGTACCTGGCCGATGCGGAACCAGAGGTTGTCGTTGAAGGACGCAGCGGTGTGCAGCACCTGCGGGAAGCTGGTGGCGGAGCGCACGCCCTGGTCCATGTGGATCCCCTTGCCGGAGATGGCCACCCCGTGCAGGGCCTCGTTCCACCACTTGTACGAGGGGACGCCCAGCCGGGGCACCCCGTTCGCGATGTCCCCGAGCTGCGACGCCTTCTCCGCGGGCGTCATCCGCGACACTAGGTCCGCCGCGCGCTGCGCGGCAGGGAGCTTCGTGTTGCAGAACGGTAACCCCTTCGATGGCGACGACGGGCCGCACGAGAAGGGTGGTGCCCCGGCCACGGCCACTCTCATCAGCAGCGCCGGGACCAGGAGGAGCAGTACTGCCGGTAGCGCTGCCATGACGGGGTTTCTGCGGTGGTGTGTGGAGGAGGAGGTGGTGGAGGGAGTAGTCAGGTGGTGAAGAGATGCATGATCCATCCGACGTGAGTGTGTGAGAGGCCAGGGGTGGCGGGATTGTGCTTAAATACACCATCTGGGTCAACAGGACCGAGCTGAGCCTCATGTCGCTCACTGGTGGTGTTTGCGTGTGATGCACTATAAGCTAGGCTATTATTAGTAGCCATCAAGGGGAATCGCAGGTTAAGCATGCAAGTAATGCGTTGCTGTTTCCATTTCGCGACTTGGATTCAATGGAGATCAATAATGTGCGCGTGCTGAGGTATGTTGGTTCGTAGTAGCTAGTAGTATAACTGCATATCTAACTAATCTCGCGGTCTCCAAACCTAACATTTGAAATAACTAAATAAGTACGTGTATTCCAATGTAATAATCGCGTCATCATTGTAGCATTTCAAGTAACTGTTTTCAGATTAATAATTTTGAATTTACTAGCAGTGGTGGAACTTTGAAATTAAGTTTGATGAGTACATGTGGATTCTTCTTGAAGATCAGACAAAAGAGAACACAGGGAGTACGTAATTGTTGATCTACACGCATGCATTGTCTTCGTGTCGGACGGAAGTCTTGCTAATTGGGGATTGCTTAAACGGATGAGACATGGGAGTTATTACAGGTACAGTAGAAGTCTGAATCTTTGATAATAACTAAATGAAAGCATCAATGGACTGTCGACAGATATGGCCGAGATACTGCACGATCTGTGTGTTGCGGAACGATTCGTGTAGCTGCTACGGTGTGATCTGGTGGTACACCTAACGAGGGAGGTGAGGAAGATCGGGAGATAACGAGTTGGTGTTCAATCCGGCCGGTCCACAACGGTACTGACATGCTAGATATATGATGTTAGAAGCACCAGAGAGCGACAACCTGTCAAAAACCAAAAAAATATATATATTTCAACTAAAATGTTTGTCATAGTTATGTTTCTGAATTCTGATATTTTAATTTGTTTTTATAACAATTCTGATAATTTGTTGAACTGCGACGTAAGCATTCATTGAACTTTATGGGTACTTGATGGGAACATTGTTGTTGGCTACTTGGGCTTCTACAGATGGCTCAAAACTTTGGGTCGTTTTACACAAGTTTAAATAGTATTTTAAATTGGGTTGTATTCAAGGCAAGTAAGAGCATGTCAAAGAATTCTCAATAAAGCCTCACGATCTAGGATTTTTGGCCAAATTAGAAAAAAAAAAACTCATCTCTAACAATTCCTAATCCCACCGCCCAATCTTTTGACACTTAGAAAAAAATCACCCATAAGCGCGGATAAATCCGCGCACTCCCCCTCGCCCGTATCACGCTGATCTTCTTCCTTCACACGACTTCCACGGCTGGCATCCCGGTGGCTGTACGGAGAGAAATAGAATGCCGCCTCGCCGTTGGTCTGGACGGAGGCTTAGCGGCTCAGCGCTCAACGGCGATGGGGGCATGCAGGCTGGGCAGGCCGCACGGTGAGGAGTTTGAACCTACCTGGCTGCGAGTCGAGGAACCCCTACTCCATCCGGTACAGCGCCGACGCGACGCCTTCCATGAGATGTATGTGACCTTGGTAATTAGAAGAGATGTATGTTGGATTATAATCGGAATATAGATCAATTCTTCTCGGCGAAGAATCTTAATTTAATCCCATTCACCCTCCCCCTTCTATTTGCCATTTCATCCTTCAATGTCATTGTGTGCCCTCTTTGGTTTGCCGCACATTTGTATTTTACATTGCATGGCTTGTGCTTATGCTTGTGTGTACTCGGTTACGTGCGCTTTTGACTGCTGGGGCTGTGTGAACATGTCAAGGAACTCATTGAGAAGCACACACTATGTTTGGTTTGACATGCTGAGGGAGATCTAACATTTACTCCAGGTCTTTCAGTGAAAACCAGTTAAGCCGGGTTTACCACTTGGGTGGTTAGTCCGACCGTCCAACAACCCGTCTTGTTATACCCGTTAGGCTGGCTTTGACTGAGTTCTGCAGTTTACCGTTTTAAGTGCTATTTCTTTTAAGAATTTTTGTAGAACCAGTTCAAACCCTCCCCCTCCCCAACCCCCAACACCATCTTGGCATGGTCCTTTCAGCTATCTTTGTCTAAATTGATTCGAATTTGATCATTTTTTTAACTTGTTCTGACATGATTTTTCGATGTATCTTCAATTGATCTGGTCATTTTTTTCAGGTTTCAGTAATATCACTCGTGTACGTTTTCCTTTCGTGATATTGCAGGGGAGCCTTCTATCTACAAATACTCTCACTTGTAATATGACATTCCGTCAAAGAAGAAACACACAAAATTATCTGTGTCCATCATTTTCACTCGTTATTATTATGCTGTTCTCTCGTTGCAATTTGTTAGGTCATTTTTGTTCTCAAATGCAGAAAAGATTTGCACATCATTGTATTAAGAAGAAGAGTTCAACCATATAAATGACGTGCCTCTATCGAACCTCCTAGGAGGTCAACAAAGACAACCTGAATTATGTCGCTTTTTCTCCAAAGTTTTACTCATATTGATCAGAGGGAAGTAGGGAACATGTCTCTTCTTTAATTATTTTACTTCACTTTCTATAGCATGAATGAACAATGAAGCTCTAAATCATACTAAGAAATAATGATGTCGTATTCAACTGTACTTCTTGCCCTCCATCTACAACTCAAGCCTCAAACCTTATCTCCATCTCATGGTTGTCAACCATGAGGAAATGAGACCCAATATCGATCACCTTCCTGCCATCCGCCCTCACCCTGCTGAAATGCTCACACGGGCTGATGTCAAACCTGAGGTTGGCCGTCTCCCCTGCATTGAGATGCTGGCTCCTGAACCCAATCAGCTGGCTTGCCGGGCGGCCTCCTTTCGTGTTTGGCCACCGGAGGAACATGAGCGCCGAGTGCTTCCCGTCCATGGGTCCGTGGTTCTGCACCTCCACCCTGGCTGGAAACTTGAGCTGCTCGCATCCGTCAGTGCCGATGTCGTCGACGTGGTAGCTACGGTCGCCATCCTCTGTCATTGTCTCCCTTAGGCCAGTGAGAACAGTGCTCGAGAGCGTAGGCATACTGGTTCCGTAGACTAGCCGGCGGGAGAAAATGGAGTAGCTGAGGCCGTAGCCGAACTTGTAGACGGTCTTGCCCTGGTAGAATCGGTAGCTCCGTCCAGGGTAGCCGCTGGTCGGGTCGGCACGCATCCTCATGTCCGTCATGGGCACCTTGGTGAACTCCTCCGGATACCACGTCACCGGCAGCCTCCCGCTGGGGTTGTGGTCGCCGAATAGCACTTTGGCGATGGCGAGGCCGCCGGCCTGTCCGGGGTACCCAGCCCATAGGATGGCACCGATCTTTGGGTTCGACTGCGCGAACGTGATGTCCACCGGTCCGCCGGAGAGAAGCACCAGGATAACCGGTCGCTTTGACGCGTCGGCAACGGCAGTGATGAGGCTCTGCTGCATCCCCGGAAGGAGCAGGCTCGTCCTATCCTTCCCTTCGCTCTCCTGCTGCTGGCTCAGCCCCATGAACAGGAACACGTAGTCCTCCGAGCCCGCCAGCGCGACAGCCTGGTCCGTCGCGGCGACGTCGCAGGCCGCCGAATTGCACCCGGCCAGGAACCTCACATTGTTCAAATAGCTTTGGAGCCCCTTAAGCGGCGTAGTGGATTCGCATGGCGGACCGAAGTAGTTGGCGACAAGCGCCATGCCGTCGTTGGCATTGGGGCCGATGACGGCAGCGGAGGTCACCGTGGACCGGTCGAGTGGGAGGATGCCACCATCGTTCTTGAGCAGCACGATGCCGTCCTGCGCTGCCTCGAGCGCAAGATTCCTGTGCTCCGGTGTGCAGATGTCCGCGGCGCCTAGGGCGCCGTACATGTTTTTCCTCGGGTCGCCGTCGAAGTGTCCCAGCCGCATCCGGACCGCGAAGAGGTTGGTGAGGGCCTTGTCGATGTCCTGCTCCGTCAACTTCCCCTGCTGGATTGCGGCCGTGGCGTGCTGCTGGATGTAGGAGCCGCAGTCTATGTCCAGTCCTGGAGATAGAGAAATTAGAGTGGTCAAGCAGAGAAACAGAGGACATTCGCAGAGGAGCAGCCAAGAAACAGAAACGTACCAGCCTTGAGCGAGACGGCGACGGCGTCCTCCGGCGTGGGCGCGTACCGCTGCGCGTCGCGCATGATGGCCACGGCGTCGCAGTCCGAGGCGATGTACCCATCGAGGCCCCAGTCCCCCCTGACGGTCCCGGTGAGCAGATCAGTGTTCGCGCACGCCGGCACGCCGTTGATGGCCGTGTAGGCGCACATGATGCAGCTGGCCTTTCCTTCGACGACGCAGCTACGGAACGGCGGGTTGAAGGTGTCCTCCAGATCCTGCGCCGTCACGCGGGCCACGAAGCTGTAGCGCGCCACGCCGTTCCAGTCCTCCAGGTCGTAGGCCGTGGCGTGCTTGCAGCAAGCCGAGGTCTGCAGGAGCGAGGACGAGCTGTTCCCCTGGATGCCCCGGACGAAGGCGACGGCGTAGCGGCTCGCCACGGCCGGGTCCTCGCCTGGTGTCTCCTGCCCGCGGCCCCAGCGCGGGTCCCGGAAGATGTTCACGTTCGGGGACCAGATTGTCAGTCCTTCCGCCTGGCCGACGTTGAACAGCGCCCTGGCCTCCCGGCCGATCGCCTGCACGTGAGCGACCACATGTATGAGACGAATTCACATGGCTGGCAAAATCCTTGCCGTAGTATGGACATCAAACGAAAACAAAAATAATATATAGATATATACTAGGTAGTAAGACATGATTCGAACGCTCAGTCCTATAATACAATGTATTCTACATATTTTAAGACAGATTAAGAGAATACAAAAGATATACGTGCTCTCACTTTCTTTTCTAATAAAACACTATTATTGTCCTAATTAATAGAGATTAGTTGATAAATGAAAAATATCTATATTATCAAATTTGTATGACTATTTAATATAAAACTACTCTTGCCCCTAAAATCCCTTACCTCTAGGACTTTTGAAATCTAAAATACACAATATTATAGGACAAAAGATTTATATGCAAAGTCGGAAATGTCACGTTGATGTCTTGACAGAGAAATGCGGTTTCACCCGACGAGCCCATAAAAGCCAAACCGGCTTTTAGGGTTTTCCAAGGTGAACTTTCGGCACCTTTGCATCAACTTTTTTCATTCCTCCTTTGGGTATTGACTTTCCCCATAAAAACATGTTAGGATAAACTCTTTTATTCTCAAAATGCTTGTCAACTTGATTGAAAAATGAGCTAATTTTGTCGGCCAAGCCTTTTGTCGCACAACCTATCACTCAGAGGATGGCCACACCAGAACTCATGTGCTCTCTGCAACGGGCCATTGGAAACCGGTTTACACCTTTGCCTATCCTACCCATATGCTCAAGTGGTGTGGAACCAAATCTCAACTTGGGAGAATTTCAATATTCTTCAAGCTGCTCACCCGGTGCAATTTGATAATATTGGTAAATGGTGGGAGAAGGCGGCAAGATCCATACCAAAGGATAAAAGACGACACTTCAATGAATTGATTATCTACACCATGTGGAATATTTGAAAGGAACGAAATCAAAGAATTTTCGATCAAAAGTTCTTAACAGCTCAGGAAGTAGCAGCCCACATTAAAGAAAATCTAGAGGAGTATAGAAGGGCTTTTCAAGTGATCACCTAAGGTAGTGTAATTGCAATCATAGTGTAAGGGCTGTCGGGTGGCAGAGCCAATCATTGACTACATTATGGGTTCATGGCCTAGGAGCCGTTGTATCTTAAAATTCTCTTTTTCTTCTTAATTGAAAGGCAGAGCTCCTGCCATTTATGTTAAAAAAAATAGATAAAAGGGGATTTTGTTGTTTGAAGGTCTGGTTCGGTTCATCACTTGCCCTGCCTCCGTTAGCCTACTGGCTACTGCCATGCACTTGCCACAGGCCGGCAGGGATATCGCTGGTCAGCCCGGCTCCACCTCTCCACGCGACCACGCCTCCAGCTGACTAGCAACCCCCAATCGACAGCACCGCAGCACCCCTGGGCACAGCAGGGTACTTCGTAGTAGCTAGCAGCTGCCAGGTGGGGACGCCGCACCGGCGTACACGTACCCACGGCCGCATGATCGCCAAAAGGCTGTACCAACAAGTTAGGTAGTATACAGATCCAAACGACCGTGATCTTGAAATTCAGATGAGCCTGTCCGGCCCGGCAGTCACACACACGTGACGTCCCCCCAACGAAAAGGCGCCACTTTTTCCCACGCCAACATTCTGCGATCGTCCCTTTTCGTCACGGACCAGACATGCATCCGTGTTCACGTGCTAGCCCCTTTTAATTTGTCAGGACTTCGATTTCCCGTTGCTCTTTAAGCGCAAAATACAGGTTTGGTTCAACTACTACGCACCACATACATCACGCACTAAATTACCGATCCATCGAACCGCCGGTCGACTATGGTTCGAGAGAGAGACGAAAATGTGTCAGATTCAAAGAAATATCGCATGTACCTAGCCGTATGTACAGATGCGAAATAGAGTAATGGTGTTTGGTGGGGCTCCAACATTTCCGGAGTTAATTCATGCCATTTAGGCTAGCGCCGAATTTACAACTTGACCAGTTGACCTCTCAAACAAAGTCGTGCTCACATCAGTTCAACTTATCAATTACTGTACTATTATCGTTCATGAATAGAAGGTCTAAAGCCTTGGGGCGCGTTTGGCTCCCGCCACAGCCGCTGCCGCCACCGCTGTGGCCACGCCACGGTCGGCGGACGAAACGGCCGCCAGACAATTGGCGAGCGGCGGCGTGCATTATGAACTAGCAGCCGTGGCGCGCGCCAAAACCTTCAGCCATGTGCGGCGGGCGCGTTGGTCGCGATCCAAATGCGTTGTTAGACCCACACCGAACATATTCAATTTCGCACTCTTATAACTCCGATTATTTTTGTTTAACATACGCTAATCAGTAGGAGTAACGCCTCCGTTTCATAAAAAAAATTAATCCCATCAATATCAGAGGTAGCAATGGATCGGAGATTCTGATTATTTAATGAAGCTAAGCTGCGGTCCTCAGCACAGACGCTGTGCAATTATAATACTTAAACGCACCCTAGCTTAGTTGTCCGTTCCCAAGCAAATCACGGATGATACCAGCCAAAAAGCTGCAAGAGCGCGGCGCCAGCGCGTGCATGCATGGCATCGATTGTGGATCCACGGGTCCGTCCGTCCGGCCGGCCGTCGCTCCCAACCAACCGCCCGTGCCAGCCAAACCAATCCATCGCGCGCGGCACCCCGTAATGGCAGTGTGGCAGGCCCGCCCGCCAGCCCGGGCCGCGCTCGCGCACCATGAGTGCCAGTGCCAGCGTGCGTATGCCCATGCCGGTCGGTACGCGCTACGCGGTACGGTGTTCATTCAAAGAAAGAAGATCCAAAAAAATAAATGCTCATCGTCGCGTACGTATCGTACGTAACGCACCTGGCCGATGCGGAACCAGAGGTCATCGTCGAAGGCGGCGGCGGTGAGCAACACCTGCGGGAAGCTGGTGGCGGCGCGGACGCCTCCCACGGCGTCGAAGTGGAGGCCCTTGCCCGAGGTGGCCAGACCATGCAGCGCCTCGTTCCACCACTTGTATCCGGGGACGCCCAGCCGCGGGACCCCCGCCGCCTGGTCGCCGAGCTGCGCGATCTTCTCCGCGGGCGTCAGCCGGGACACCAGGTCCGCAGCGCGCTGCGCCGGGGCCAGCGTCACGTCGCAGAACGCGAGGCCCTCGGACGCCTCCGCGGACGACAGGCCGCACGAGAACGGCGGGTCCCCGGCCAGTACTACTGCCGCACCGTGCAGCGCCGCCAGCGTCAAGAGTTGTGCTAGCGTCGTCGCTGCCGCCATGCTGCTGCAGCCCGCGTTGATGTTGATGGAAGGCCGTGGCGGGAGGCGGGAATGAGAGCGATGTAGCGACCAGCGCGCGCCTGCCCGCCTAAATAGGCTGCCGCCGCGAATCGGAGCTCGCCGCGTGTCTGCTCACTGGTGTTGCGTGTGGTGCACTGTACAGCAGCTAGCTGCTAGCCTGCTACTAGCAGTAGCCATCATCAAGAAGAATCGTAGGGCATGCGTGTGAAGGAGATGCTTCTCTTGCCCTTTCGGCCGAGAGGATTTCAATGGAGATGCACGGATCCATACTTCCGTGTATGCGTGCTCGGTGATGTTTCCGGTCCATGGAGATATGCGTTTCGTGGCGCTGGGTAATTAGGCTACCTAATTAATTAGTGCTTCAGCGTTCACATCAAGCCAATGCGCGTCGCTTTATTTGAAAATTTGCAACGATGTCTTCCTGTAGTCGACTTGTGCGTAGTCTGTCTCATTGGGATTGCTTAATAAGCAGATAGGTGTCAAAATACATTTTGTATGATCGTTTTTAAGGTCCCTGGTCATGGCGAAGCTACGAATGAGATTTGTATACTGTTTCATTAAGCTGTATGGTAAGTGTTGATAAGTAGAATGTCATTTCACCGGTAGGCACCCTTTGGAAAAAAAAGGAAAGGTACGGTATATCAATTTTGGAGTATTGTAATCCTATAGAAAACTTTTCTTGTATATCTCTTTAGAACTAAGGATTAATAAACATTTTGAAATTCTTTTAGATTACTACGAGATGCATGAAACCATAAGAAGTGATTGACAATTGTCACGACCCAAAGGTAGTTCCAAATAAAACTTTTTGACGACCTCCTTAATAACCTTGCACAGGTCTTCTTAGCCAACAACCACCATATCACTCTCTCGGAAAGGCCTCTAGTACTTTCTACTAAGGCAATGACCCCGAATTCGTTAATCAACCCCATCGAATTTCCCCAATCAACCTAAGTCAACTAGGGGTCAACCCTAGTCAACCTATAGTTCACTTTGAGGACATACTCTGAGACAACTACTAAGTAACCTTCCCAATCTCTCTAAAGGTGTTTATCAACCCCTGGAGCAAGATCAATGGCCCCAATGTCAAACCCCTATCTCTAAATCAAATTATGTCCAATTTCAGTGATCTACCGGAACGTTCCGATGATCCGACGGACCATATGGTAGATCACTTATTCAGTAGTTTTGATGAGATGTACCTCTCTCCTCTCCCATGGTCCCACATGTTAGCACGAAGTGGAGATACTTCTCACCGGAATCAACCCGTCTCCACTCACTCTCTCACCCATTCACTCATTCCCCACCCTCCCTCTCTCTCTCTCTCTCTACAAGGAAGAACAAGGATGAACTAGAGAGAGAAAGGAAAGGTATATAAGAGAAGGAAGAGAAATTTAGGAATTGCCTATTTGTCCCCCTTTAAGTGACATCAAGGTTCTTTCATTTAGTTTTACATGTGGAATCAGATGAAAAAACTTTATGGGCCTGTTTGGTTTACCGGTGGCAAGCATGCCGGACCAAGCCATACGTCCAAGATTTTGGATGTCTAATGGTAAGATGCTTGCCTTGTGGCCAAGGTGCTTGGGAGTGTAAGAGCCAAACAACTCATCTATATCTCTTATAAAGCAAATTCTCTTTTCTCAAAAAAATAAAGCAAATTCTCACTACAAGTTCTATCTCATGCAAGTCATCAACATCATTACGCACTAACCATTCATGTCATCTCCCACTAATAGTCATGTCACCCCCAATAACATTCAACCTCTTCATGCAAACTATCAACGTCATCTACACTAAGAGCAATTAGTACTTTCAATATATTAGATATTTATTTTTGCCATATGTTGCTATTGTTTTGCCATTCCATTCATTATAAGTTTTGTTAGATTTTTATTGAATTCTTTCATTGTTTTGTCTCAATTTTGATAAGAATGGATGTAAGAACATGTAGATTTAACTCATATAATGATTTTATTTCTAAAAATGTCGTGCAGCAACGGGGTATGCTTAGTATATGTATATAAGAATTATAAGGGCACCTGCAACAGTAAAGATGACTTGCTAGCTCATATGAACATAAAAAAGAGAACAATCTAACATGATAGTATAGAAAAATATGTAAGCAAAGACATGGATTATAGGAAAAATTATGAGCTTAACGAACTCTTTATGAAGAGCAACCATATCATTCTCTCTCCTTCTTA